GGAGAATCTGTGTTGCATCACTTAAATGTTTCTGCTCTTTGTTCGTGATGCGTCTATTTATATGCAATTTGGGAGGGTAAGCAATGGTTTATCTGCCAGGAATACAGACCCGATAAATCCCGACACGCACCCACGCCCCGCTTGTCTCTGTGAGAGCGCCTTCCACGGACACGACCTTCAAGGCCGCGGGAAAAACTCCCAGGTCCCTTCGTCTCCTTATTTCCCTTTAGGTGAGGGCCCGGGGAGCCGGGCACGGCCAGAAGCTGCTACTGATTCAGCACTTGGCAAGGAGGAGGGTGGGGATGGCTCCTCGCCCTCCTCCCGCTGCTGCTTGCCCCTCGGCAGTCCCGGAGAGGTTGCCTAAACCTCAGCCTGGGCTTTGCAGCAGGGATCAGCGAGCCTCGCTGGGCCGGATCCTGACTTGGCTCCGTGCTCTGCAGCGGCATCATCTGCCTGACTGCGGAGCTGGCCCTCCATCCCAGGAAAGCTTTACAGTCTCCTCGATATGCACCATATAACGCGTTTTATAGGCGCTTTCGCCTCGCGGTATCCACTAAGCTTTCCTTTCCCTTTCTTCGCGTTATTTTTATTAATTCCCGTGGAGAAAAGCATGCAGAGGAAGGCTGCGGGCTGCCAGGTGCGGCTGCAGCCGGGGGAGGCCAGCAAGGGCCAGCATCCCTCCTGGCCATGGGGCTGCCATCCCTCCTGGCCATGGGGCTGCCATCCCTCCTGGCCATGGGGCCAGCCCCGGGCCCTGCCCCCCCCCCCCCCCCCCCCGCACCCGGTCGTCCCCCCCCCCCCCCCCCCCCGGTACCTTCCGGCGGGGCAGCAACCGCGCTTTGATGATTTGGCCCATGAAAGACGTAGCGAGTTTGTTCATTTCGTGTTCGGGGGTTAATAAAAGCTAATCAGGAGTCGAAAGCGAACTAGCCCGATGAGTTAACCTCGCTAGCTGCAGGTAGTCCTGTTAGCCAGGCTCTTTTGGTTAATTAATTACAATTGAGTCGGTTCTGTGATAATACCCTTAAGGACCCCTGACGACTGGTCCAGCGGATGCGCAGGAGCGCAGAAAGGCCGCGGGCTCCGCAGCCTCCCGCGGAGGGTGCGCGGTGCCGCGTCCCGCACCCTCCTCCGCCCCGTTACGAGGCTCCCGAGGTTTCTTGCCCATCATCTGAGAGGAGGCACACGACAAGAGCGAGCGCGCTTTTGGGGATGGGTGGGGAGCCCTGGGAATCCTTGGGGTGCCGGGGAGCTGCTGCCGGGGAGAGCGGAGCCGAGAGGCGGGCAGAGGCAGGCGGGAGCCCGAAGCATCAGCCCCTGCTCGTTGGGATTTGGGCACGTAACGCTGCAGACCACTGATTTGCTATTTTCTTAATTCCCGCTCTTCTCATTCCCTATGAATCAAACAGTCTTTTGTCCTTCAGAGTTTGATTTGATCGCTACTGTTCACATTTCACTTTTGTATTTTCCTCTCCCTATACCATTACTCATTGAGTGCCCCGTGAAATTACAATCGTACATTTTCAACTCAGCAACCCATTTGCAGTGCAAAAATAGGGTCTAAATAATGGCTGAATTAGCCCTACTGGACAGTTTCAGATGTAACACTCTGTAATAATTATATTGCAGGCTGGATTAGGATGCTATTATCATAATCTGGACGTTTACAATTATCTGTAATTTGCAAAGATGCGCCAGGTCTTGATTACAGCAGTTTTTTTTTATCAAGCTAACCATCACTAAACAGTGACAGTAATAACAGCTAATTTTGCTGGCAATATAAGAGGTGCTGGGGTGTGCAAACAATTTCACACCTGGATGTGCTCACTCAACCAAGAATATAGAGAAAGAGCTTCTGCCCTGAGACTCAGAAAAATATTCTCCACTGCTTCTGTTCAGTATAGATTTCTAGACCCCGATCCTTGCTTAGCAGATTTTCACAGGGGGTAAGTTTGGGGGCTCGCTTGGGTTCGGGGTGGGTCTGTGACTGCTTCGCGCCTTCCCCTTCGAGGCACGCTCCGTCTTTGCTCGTTCTCCCGCTTTCGCGGTCACTCTTGCGCCGGCGGTTTCCCTCACCGGGCCGGACCCCGACCGCTCCGCGCCCCCTCTTCCCCCCGGTGCCGCCGGGGCGGCGGCCGGCGCGGGGAAGGGGGGAGCGGGGGGGGGGGGGGGGGCACCGCCGGGCTACCGGAGGGGCGGCGTGGGGCCGGGCGACCGGCGGAGACACCGTGCGAGCCCCGGGGCCAGCCCCGGCCGGCCGGCCCCGCGGCTGGGCGGCGGCAGCGCGCCTTTCCGCGGCTCTCCGCGGCTCTCCGCGGCGCCCACCCCGGCGGCCCCGGGGCGGCGGAGCCCGGCGGCGGGCCGGGCGGTGGGGGGGCCGTCTCTGGCAGCCCGGCGGCGGCAGGTTTGGCGGCTGGCGTGGGGAGCTGCTGCCGCTCCATCCATAGATGACGCTGTTTCACGAGAGTCTCCCGGGGCGGCAGCCGCGCGAGTGGGAGCCGGCGCTGCCGCCGCTGCCGTTCAGCTCCCACCCCGCTCTCGGGAAGGCCTGCATCTCGCACCTTCTCCCCCTCCATTAAGCCATTGGGCTATTATTATTATTATTCATAATAATAATAATAATAATAATCTGTCCCCGTGCTTGCTTGTTGTCCGGGCTTTATTTAAGCCTATCCGAGAAATCACTCGTGGGGGAGGCGGGCACGACGCACCGAGAGGCTTTCCGCGCCGGCACCCACGCTGGCACCGCCGAGGCGTGCAGGCGAGGAAGACCCCCCCCGAAAGCTCACGAGAAGCAGCGAGACACCCTTTCCCCCCGCCAAACCCCCCCACCCCACACCCCCCCCCCTTCAACGGGCCTGCCAGCGGGGGTGGGGACGGGACCGCCCGCCGCCGTTCCCACTCGGGGGCTGCAGCTAAAGGGTTAAGGAGGCGGCGGGGGCCGGGACCCGCCAGGCTGGGCTCTGCTGGGCTCTGCTCGGCTGGGCCGGGCTCCCCGGGCTGCGGGGCGGCCGCAGAGCTCGCCCACCGGGGCACCCGGCGCCCTTCCGAGGGGGCGAGGGTGAACCCGGACAGGGGCCAGCACGGGGTGGGGGGGTGGGGGGGTGGTGAAGCGGGGTTTTCTGAAGGATGCACACACACACACACAAATGCTGTTGGTTTAAATGTATGGTAGCTTTCTCTCCAGTGTCATTTGAATAATTCAGTGAGCCCCACTACCAGCTGTACTTCTGAAGCCTCTTCCATTCTTTTCAGCATTATAATTTTGGTTAATTTTCAATTTTAGGCCCTACGTCTCTGCAATTTGTGTATGAATAACAGAATAATTTTCCTCTTTTGTTTCGCCTTTCCTGTTCCTGAATCTAAATAAAGATGGCTTTTTAGTATTAAAAGTGGAAGAAAATTACAGGTAATTATCTTTGACGGTAAAAACGCTGTAATCAGCGGGCTACATGAAAAATTACTCTAATTATGGCTGCATTTAAGAGAATGGAAAAAAACCTTCTTGTGGATAAAAACCTTAAATTGTCCCCAATGTCTGCTTCAAATTGGATGGCACTGCAGCTGGAGGCTTTGTTCAGAATTGATCCTGGGGAGCTCTGAACCCAAAGTTTCACAGTGGGAAGGGGAAAAAAAGAAAAGAAAACATTTTTCCTAATGTAACAATACGAATGGTAGAAAATGACAAGACTGATCGGTTTTAAACCACTCTGAAGACTGACTGAGCGTGGAAGTTGCTCAAAAAAAAACAAAAAAACACCCCCCCAAAAACTGGTATATTGGTAAGTAGTCTTTGCTTTGTGTCTAATTATAGTGACTGTCCTTTTGCACGACTGTATGTAGCTGTCATTATATGGAGCACTCTGAGGATCTCTATTGACTTCTGATAAATGGCTCAGTGGTTTCAAGGTTCATAATTTGAAGGATGCCCAGGTCTCTAGCCATTAATTCTCGCAGTATGGGGCACCCAGCTTGGATGAGGAAAGGGCTTTTCATTTGCAGTAGTTGCTGTGCTTTCCACAAGCTGGTGAGGCTGGAGCTGGCTGGACAGCGTGTTGTGTGCCTGGGCACCTCTCAGGGCTTTGCAAAACATTCCTCAGCTTGAATTGTCTGCTCTTTAAAAACAAAGGAGGGCGCCTCCTTTCTTAATAATTTGAAGTCTCCAACCTTTGGGAAGAAAGGCAGGGCTCTGAGCTTTGCCTCGGCGAGAAAGCTCAGCTCAGCTGAGCAGCGGAGCAGTGAAATCGCAGCAGGAGCGGCCGGGTGATTGGAAACTTCGTCTAGGCTTAGCTTCGCGGTCTCGATATCTCCTGTCTCAGTCGTAGCCTTAAGACTAACCAAGCCACCAGCTAGCCTCCCACCCCCCTCCCATCTTTTCTCGCAGATCTCTGTTCAGGTAGCGGTGTCTGTGCGTGCAGGCAGGCGGGGGGGACAGCGTCCAGCTGCTTGCGCTGAACTGGGGGGGCAAGTCTGGGGGGAGGTGGGGATCCGCCAAGGCGGAGAGAAACAGGAGCCAAGCGGGCGTTTTGTGGCTTTTACTCTATATATGAAAGAAGACAAAAACATACAAAGTATATGTACAACTAAAATTCAACAATATATACAGAAAGGTTGCTCGGGGGCAAGGTCCCTCTCGCTCAGGCGGGGAGAGGCTGCGGCAGGCAGCGCTGAGCCTTCCTTCCCCCGCCCGCGGCGCGGGGGGTGCCGCGGGTCCCTCGCTCTGTCTGTCCTGCTCGTCTCCGGGAGTCTGTCCGGCTGTGTGCGGGTGTGTGCGGGTGCGGGTGAGGGGGCTCTTCGCGGGAGAGACGGTGGTTTCTTCTGAGCCGCAGCCCATTGCATTTCGAGAAAGCATGCAGGTTTTGCTTCGCGGTAATGTTCTAATCTTACAGTATGTTTTCATTTTTCAACCAGTTCTCCTTTTTTCCCCTCTCCTTTCTTTTCTCTTTCCTTCTTTTCTTTTCTTTTTTTTTTTTTTTTTTTTTTTTTTTGTTTTAATCCCTTCTTCTCTCTTTTATTTTTATTTTTTTTTCCCCAGTCCGGATTTGGTGAATAAAAATGAAGGAGCTTTGAGTAGTCTCTCTTTCATCATGTAATGTCTTTAGCTCATTAAACAAGTAAAAACGGCTGCCATGGTAGATTCAGGTTCTTCTTGTGGGCAAAGTCTGTAAAAAGTTTGTTTTGACGTATACTCCACAGAGAAAGAGGCTGGTGCCTTGGAGTCCAAAGGAAAATATCCTAAAGAGAAGTGTCTTCTGTGCGCCAGAATGAAAATTGTGTCTTTCTGTTCAAGATCAATCGCTGAGGTTACTTAAAAAAAAAAAAAAATAAAATAAAATAAAGCCACTCTGTCTCTTGCCGCATCTACAAGTTCACACAGAGCCTGTTAGCTGGCACGGCTTGGCAAAGCAGGGGAACTTTTTGCCATGTCGAGACGAGGCGTTCTGGGGAGATTATTTCTCTTGGACAATTCACATCATTTGTGGTCTCTGCATTGTGTCTTGATGTGGAGAAGAATACCAGTGAGAATAGCCAGGCATGTAGCTGTTGGGAGGCATATTGACTCCCTTGGCAGAAGCTGAAACGTCCCAGACTGGAGGCAGAGCCGGAGAGCGAGGAGAGAGGGCAGCGGAGCCGGGCAGAGGGTCGCTCTCGTGGGGGTTGCTGCCCTGCTTCAGCAGCTTCTTGAATTTGGAGCGCTTGTTCTGAAACCAGATCTTCACCTGTAAACCAAAACGCAGCAGGTATTAGGCTGCCGCCAGCACCCAGGGAATAGCAGGGGACACCCCGGGGGTCCTGGGTTTGCTCGTCTTGAGAGCCCACGCCAGTCGGGTGTGGAGTTGGGGATGGGGAGAGGGGAAGGAGGGGCAGCTACTGCTGCTCCCGGGCTCTGGATGCAGCTGGAGAGAGCAGGAGAGGCAGAGCGGAGCTGGGAAGCGAGAGGGGATGAAGGTTTTAACCCGGAACGTTATTTTTCCCCGGGCCGGCCAGATAGATCGAGCTGAAACAGAGTACATGCTCCGAGCTCTCCTGCTTTAATGCCTCATTCCGAATTTTGGAGGTCATTTGATCATTTGGGCAAACTGTTGTCAAACACGGGCAATCATATGATTTTGTGCCAGGAGACAGGAGCCAATAGACAAAGGGCATTTTACAAAGAAATCGCGCATCCGAAAACATGCACGATCAAGTGGTCCTTGCTGATGTGATGGGGGAGGATCCACAATGGAACCAGGATTGTGGCTTTATTTTAGAAGCGTTTTTGACAGAATGGGAAATTCTCTTTTCCCGGCGGATAATTAATTGGCTGTCGAGATCGCTCTGGGTCTCATCCTGCTCCTGATCCAGCAGAACTCCTGAGGAGGGAGCCCGCACTCGACGGGGCGTGCAAGGATCAGGCCCACTCTGATAGATCGGAATTATTATAGAAATTATATATATGTAAGACCTATATGCACACACATTCCTTAAAATCAAAGAAAGAAAGAAAACAACTCCCACGTGTATTTGACCTTGCAAACTTTGCAGACGTAATGTTAGGGCATAAGCAGGGGTGCTTGTCTAGCTGCATGCTCAGGATCGGGCCCCTACATCTCTGCGTGCGAGAGAGAAAGCGAGACAGCAGTGAGACAGAGCGTGCATGCTAGGGATACTAAAATCCCATTTGTAAAACCATCAGGTCTATTCCCATGATTAATGTTTGCTGAGTATTTAAAAACCGCTGGCTGGAAGCGACTGTTATCAATGACAATGATAAAATCCTCAAGTTATTTGTTAAGCTCATAAATTCACATGATTACATTTTACCCGAATTGATCCCATCTATCCATGCACTTCTCCGCAAACCCCAGCCTGGGAAGCCTGTAATGCCTCATGTGCCTTTCAAGCTTAAATTAGCAGAATGGCACAGCTACTCCAACCACACTTAACTATGGCTTAACCTGCTATAATTTTGTACACGGCTGTCTTTGATCTTCAGATCTATTATCGCCTTTCATACATTTTGCCCAAGGGTAACCACTGCATTTGCGTTAGTCATCCAGGGTGAATTAACTATTGATTTTACAGGTATTTCCTAACGTGTTCCTGCCTCCCCTCTACCTAGAGGTTGCTACGAGGCAGCTTTGCTTTGCTTTTAGCTCTACCTCAGGCCCAGCGATTCCTTGCCTTTGTTTTGCTCTCCTTTCCACAGCCGGGCAATTGCATCTCGGTGCTGGAATTATCCGCAAATGTAGGCAATTTTAAAATGTTACGCGTGGCATCAAAAGGGAGCGTTTGCTCGCCGAGGGAAGGGCGCGTTCAGCTCCTTCTGCGGTACAGCTGTCGCTCTGTCGTGCATTAGATAAGTCCTATCACAATATAGATGGGGACCGTGTGAGTTACCTTTTCTACCGTTCCCGTACAGAGGCCAAAACGTTTAGGGAGCACCGTACTTCGCTTGGCCTTTATTGCTCGAGCAGGATTTCAGTGATTTGGGATTCCCAGTAATTACCTGTGTCTGGG